TCAAGGGCGGGTGGGGTGGGGCAGATTGGGAAAATGTCTCCGCTGCTGCTTAAAACAGCCCAGACAATCACATAGACAGCTCCAGCTGGTGTCCTGAGACTGAAATCCTTCACCTTTTTTCCTTCTGACAGAGTTGATTTTGACATCACAGAGTTATGTGTATGCAGTTACACTGGTTTTTAAGACAATGTCCATTGGGATGGCCAGAACCACCTGGGCATGTCTGAGAGTGGGGTAACGCAGCTCTGTGCCAGGGACAACTCCAGGGCGGCTCCGGTGAGCAGGCTGGCCTCTGAGAAGGCCATCTAGGGGCGCTGTCTTCCGCCTCAAGATGGCCTCTCGATGAGCTTCTCCCTGGGCAACCTAAGGAGGTCCTGGCCCACCCTGACAAGAAGGGGATGGGAGACCATCCAAAGGTTATGCTGGTGGTCAACAAAAACCAAACCTTTAGCACATTTGACAATTGTGTCTCAGATCCTCCTACTTCACTTCTATGTTTCATTTCAGGTTCCACCCTTTCAAAACTATGCTTTCCTAGTCTTGACTTGCAGAATTCTCTCTCTTTTTTTTGTTTTTTTTTAAATATATCTTTATTGATTTCAGAGAGAAAAAGAGACAGAAACATCAATGATGAGAGTCATTGATCGGCTGCCTTCTGTAGGCCCCCGACTGGGGATCGAGCCTGCAGCCCGGGCATGTGCCCTGACTGGGAATCGAACAGCAATCTCTCGGATCCTAGGTTGATGCTCAACTGCTGAGCCGTGCCTGGCTGGGCTGCAAAACTCTCTTGAACATGGTTTACATTCGTTACCTTTTTCTTCCTACTTTTTGCTGCCTTAGATGACCCCAGCCAGATTCACTCCTAAACGGGCCACTCTTTAGCTCCTTTGCCAACACTCTTAAGGTTTGTCAGGTCTGGTCCGCAGTGGGTGGTGGGCAGAGTGGGTGAGCATATGCCAGGAAGGAGCCAATGTGTTTTCAAATAAGGAGGTGATGATGGTGAGCCAAAAGAAATGCTACCACCCCTCCCCATCTCTCCTGAGGTGGGGGGACTGAGCAGCTTCCCTTCACGGGACTTGGGGGCAACAGACTACCAAGAGGACCAGCGGTCAGTGAAGGAATATGAGGACAGGGTATTCTGCAAGGACGCTGAAGACATAGGCTAGCTTGTTTAGGACATCGTGGCATATCCAGTAGGCACGTCGGAGGCTCTTAAAGGCCAGCATTGGGGAGGAAGCACAGGGTAGCAGGGACATGGCAGGAAAGATAAGAACTGATGATTAGAGAGTCTTGCATTTAGGATGGACAGCAAAAGAAAACAGGATGAGAGGCTTGGTAGGACTGGCTGACACGGGTGGAGATGGCAGGTGACACCTGATGTCCCTGGTGAAAAGTTGTCGTAGCAGTGGGCTGTGTAATCCTGGACACCTCAGTCAGGACTGGAGATATTCAGTATAAGGTGAGACCAGTCTCCTTGGAGGTTTTTGCTGAAATCATTGGGAGAGGGTGTTGGGTATCCCTCAGGACACTCGTCCCGTAATGGGTCAGTCTTTACCGCGTACAGCCCAATGAGGAATGTTCCCCCATTGCGCTGAAAAAAAGAGAAACAATTTCAAGCCGACCAAAGGCGAGAGAAAAATTTCACCCTGCACATCTATATAGTAGAAAATGACTTCATCCAAGAAATGCGGTATTTCAGCTTTGGGTCATTTTACTATTGTCAGAATAGAAGCTGGTGAATTCACCCGCAGTTATTTGCCTAAGCAAAGGAGTTGAAGGTCTCTGAGGGAACTGGCCCCCATCTGTCACTTCCTGTATTTTAAGGAGAAATCAATGATGGGTAGATTGAGCCCTCTCTCAGCCCTGGAGACAAAGCCCAAGTATTCTTATTCCAGTGTTTTGTTCTCAGGTTTTCACGTCTAGAAGAGGTCAAGACCTGTTGGCTTTGGGGTGATTTTCTAACCTTACCTACCAAAATTTTTCTTTTTTTAAAATTTTATTTATTTATTTATTTATTTAAACATATCTTTATTGATTTCAGAGAGAGGAAAGGAGGGGGAGAGAGAGAGATAGAAACATCAATGATGAGTCATTGATTGAGCCCACAACCCAGGCATGTGCCCTGACCAGGAATCAAACCCCGATCTCCTGGATCCTAGGTTGACACTCAACCGCTGAGCCACGCCCGGCCGGGCCCAAAATTTTTCTGTTACTAATAAAACTCCTTCTTCAAGTAATAGCTTATACAAAACCACACTGCACGAAACAGGGAAAAAAAACCTCAGAATTTTATTAGTGTATATTTATTTTATAACTTCACATTTATAACATCTTACTTCATATACTGTCAATAAGTGAAAACAGTGAGGACATTTTCATGAGTACAAAAACACAGGAGACCCGGGTGTACTGGATGATAATCGTGTCACTTTGGTTGAACAGTACTGAAAAATATAACTTAGAAAGGCAAATGATCACACATGATACCTTTTAAAAAAAATGCTTTTCTTACAATCTCAGGAGATTCTTCAGTAAAAATGATCCACAGTCAGGAAGAATAACATCGTTCCAAGGTCAAATCACCAGAAATAGTCTACAATGGATGGAATACTTATCACAGAGTAACAACCGACACGAAGCACCCAGACTTGCCGGAAGAGCTAAAATAGTTTCTGACACAGTATCACACTTGACTCACAGATTACATATTTACTTGCCATGGCGCAACTGTTGGAACAATAAGAAGAGCATGCATTGAGCAGAAAAGCGTCAGGAAGATATTGTCTCAATGTACTGAGGGCTTTCTATCTACCACCCATCATGCTAAGTGCTTAAAAGCATCATGTCGTTTGGTCTTAACATAACAGCCCTATTCTATTACCTTCTCATTTTTCTGATGAGGAAACTGATGTTCGGAGGAGCTAAGCGACTTCGTGTACATACAAAGCTACCATGCTGCGCTCAGCGACTAGCATTTCACTGAATAATGCTCACCGCTCTACTAGCACACTTGACATCAAGGGCACACCTAGGCCTGATTTAAACACCCACGAGGAGCTATAGATCCCTTGATCTATGAACATTAAGATAAGTTGGGGGTGGGTGAGGTATAGGAGAGTATAGGGGGTGATAACTGGTGATGGAAGAAGGCTTGACTTGGGGTGCTGAACACAATACAGTGTACAGACCAGTGTTGTGGCATTGTGCACCTGAAACCTAAATAATTTTGTTAACCACTGTCACCCCAATAAATTCAATAAAAAGGGGAAAACAGAGAGGCTCAGCTACATGCTCAGATAGCCCAAGGGAATCTTTTTTTCCAAGGTCTGAAAACAAAAGCAAGCCTGCTGGTGAAAGCCTAGGTGTTAAAATGTGGATATCAACACACTTGAGTCTACCTGTTATTTATTAAAAGGTTTAAAGGGTTTGAAATACATGGTACAGATGGAAGTGCTGAAAAATCTCTGCACAGTGTGAAAACCAGGATCGCAGGGGAGTCAGAGTTCTCAGCTCCTGCCTGGGCTCCGCCACCTGTTAGCAATTTGATATAGAGAAGACCACTTAACTCCTCGGAGCTTCTGGTTTTGTTTGTTTCTTTGTTTTTCTCTTTCAAAAAGAGCATTATACTACATTGGTGTTGCTGTACACGTTAAATGAGACATGCACACAACAACTGGCACGTAGGCCCTCAATAAATGAGTTCTTTTCCCCCTCTTTGCCTTCTGTCTCCACTAAAAATCTCCTCTAACCAGAGGCCTGTTCACTAAATCCAGACGCTCCAGCATGCCCTCCTGTAATATCTGCCCTTTCTTGAGGGCGCCTCTCATACCATGAACCTCTTGACAGCAGGAATTAAGCAGAGTCTCGCGCTTCCGGGCCTAGCACGGTGCCTGGACCCCTCTACCTGACTCCTGGCAGGGGAGTGGGAGGAGTGCTTCCCAAGGAAGGAGAGAAAGAAACCCAAAGGTGGAGATGGTTGTGTTCATTTGGCAGTGGCACTTCTATTGGCATCATGAACTTATTTACACATAAGGTTATTCAGCTTCCACACGTGGAGGCCACTGTCCTCAATGAGACTGTCGCCCTCTGAGAGCATGGCTATGCTCTTTCGACTGTTACCTCCTTGAACAGAGCCTCACACCGCTGCAGGTACGCAGAATCTGCTCATTTGACAAAGAAAAACACCTGACAAGTCAAAAAGCTTAGATTTTTAGGTAGATTACAACAGATATCTTTTTTTCTCATGTCAATTCTTTCTTCTATGGTATGGGCAAACTTTGTCTATTGGGGATATTTAAAGGAAACCTGGAGTACCTGACGTTTCCTTTAGGTTACTGTATCACATTGGGAATTTAATATTTTGTTTATCAGTAATCTATGTAAGGTCCAAGAAACTATCAGATAATTTTTTCTTAGAAAGAATCAAGACTTGGCTTGAATGCCTTGATTTCAACTGAATTAATTAAAGAAAAGAATATGGGAAAAGTCTTAGCCTGGTAAAATGAATGTCCCCAGGCCCGTGGGCCGTAGGCCCACCCTGAGCTGGCTTTCAGTTGCCAGCCTCGTGTTCCCAGTGGCCATAGCCATCACCTTCCTCTGGCTCGTCAATATTCTCATTTTCAAAAGAGGCCTCCTCTTCTTCCTCCTCGCGGATCACCTTCATTAACTGCAGGAAGCTGGGGGGCGGCCCCCGGTCTTTCAGCTCCCTCAGCCTGCACCACAGGATCTCACTGAGGCTCGCCCCCGCCACGACCTGCTCCAAGCGGACCTGATCTGCGATGTTCCTGGGGATGGCCCTTTTCTCCACCGCCCTCCGGAGCAGAGTCTCTAACCGCAGCACATAGGCCGAGACTTTCTCTCCTTCCTCCTGATGGGTCTTCAGATATCTCACCTGGGAGGTCCTGCGGCTCTCCAGGCTTCCAAACGCTTGCTTAAACGCCTCCAGACGCTCTTCTGCACTAACAGAAGGGTTGTCCGCCTGCAGCGTGTGCATGAGGTCCAGGGCGGGGCCACGCAGGCTTCCCATCAGCCACCTTTCCTTCTCTGCCTCTGCTCCCGGCCACTCTTTGACTATCTCAGCGGCCTGTTCCAACCAGACTTCAAAGGGCTCTTCCCCCCGGGGGGGCACAGCACTCCCCGAGAACACTCTCAGCTTCCAGTATCTCACGGGTAGCAGGGGCTGAGGGGCATGTGCTATCGCCTGTCCCAACAAATGGGCCAATAACTCTGGTGACACGTAGGGCACTGTGGCTGGAGACACCCCCTCATGCCCAAGGACTTGAAACATACCCGAGACTGTCTGCCCCTTTTTTTCTAGAAAGAGGTTCAGCCTTTCGAGGAATTCAGTGTCCTGGTTAGGGGTCTTAAAAACCACTTTCCAGACACCCCCCTTCCCTGAACCTCACCGGGGATCATGGAGACATCAGTTTCCTCCATGAGCTCTAGTAAGACGGCACTGGCATTCTCCTGCTTCCTGAATATTTTGCCGAGCAGCCTGTACCTGCCCAGAGGCTTTAAAGCCTCCTGGAGGACCCCCTGAATCTCAGCCTCGTCACACTCCACTGGTATCCCCATAACCATCAGTGATTTCTGGTCATCCACATTCATTATCCGGCACCAGCCCTCCAACAGCGCCAGCGCCATTCTCACGAATGTTTATTCGCTCTAACTCTACAGGTCCAATTAATTCGTGGTGCAGCTAGGCACTCCCCGAGGATTTCAAGTATCCTGGATAAACTCCTGAGCCTATAGCCCACCAGGGAAGGGGTCTCAGGTCAGGGCACTCCAACAGCAGTCCCGAAGTCTTCTGGACCAGTAACCCTTACTTGCCCAGTGGCAAGAATTTGGCACTTCTGGTTATGTCTCCAGACCTGACCCCAGGTGGGTGGTTAGTGCCTCAGTTAGGACAGTGCCACAGCCAGTGGCTCTGTAGCTCCGCGGCTCCCGCTTCTCTCCCCGATGCCAGCAGACGTGTGGTGGCCTTGACCCTTCTCTGACCAACGGAGGCCCCTGTGAGAGCTGCTTTCACACCCTCCGCATCGCTGCCACCTCGCCTCTCTCTCGTCAGTGTGCAAGAGCCTCCACTCTGGCACCCAGAACTCCTGCAGAGAGGTCTCACCGCAGAGGGGCTTGGACTCCTAGTGAAACGATGGTCAGTTCCCACACAGCCCCCTCCTGCCCAGGAAGCATCCACACTCTCATTAGGGACAGAGGTGAGGGTAGACTGGGGAGCTACCCTACATTGTCTTTGTGTCTACCCCGCTCTGTCAGATCTCTTCTTTGCTAAGAGTGGCTTTTTTTTTCCCCCTCTTGGGGACCCTCCTGCAATCTGGCTTTCCCACCATTTGTTCATTGGACATATCAATTAATGTCTGAGCCCAGTTGTGGCCAGGACTCAAGATCCTTCCCACGTGAAGAGTGAAATCAGGAGGTGTGGCTAGATACCTGTTCATGCATCCAGAATGTCCCATAGAGTCAAGAAGCTTGTTTTTCAGCTTCTAGCACAGGAAGATGTCACCCAACTCTGCACAATGGTCGTGTCCGGGTCCTCCTTAGCTCCAGCCAAGTCAAGCTGCCCTGTTACACATAAATAATAACGGTGTATTTTTATGGCTTGATAGTATCCAATAATGAAGACTGTTGTCTTAAAAAATATAATGATACTTCACAATGTAATTAAATCTACTAAACAATATAGTTGCTTCAGTTCTTTGATTTAAAAAATCCAATCAGCTATACCAATATCAGCATAACAATATAACATCATATACTTTAATATAATAATATAGGCATAACAATTTAATATAGGTTTAACAATTATTAAAAAAATCTCAGGGCCAAATAAGTTAAACTTGGAATTAAGAATTCATTCTCTTTTGTTACGTCTGCGCAGGCTTTGCAAATGTACAACTAGGTGTTTCTTTTGCTATGAATGTTAGGTTACTAACATGACATTTTCTTCCTAGCATTTGAACTTGAACGGGGGTCATTTGAAGGAAAAGGGAGGAAGTATATGGAGAACCAGTGGAGAATAGGTAATGTACAAAGGGAAGAGTGCCTAATATCTCAACTTACTGTTGTGGAGTGGGTGTTAAGGGGCCCCGACCATTCCTCCTGAGGCCTGAAAATCTCCATCCAGCCGAGTGGGGTCCATATGCCACAGATGCCACCTTGCAACCATAGAGTTGGCATCGGCTGCAGGTGCATTTCCCCAGTCCCTTCTGGGTGGTTCTGAAGGCCTGGTGCATGCCCAAGGACCAAGAGGGCAAAGTGCTGGACCACACCCTGACCCAGCAGCAGCCCCAGGGATCTGACTCCAAGTGACTTCTCCACGCCTCACTTTCCCCTTCTAACATATGAAGGTGACCTTCCTCTTCATTGTAATATTTCAAGGAAACATGAGATATAAAAAGGCATTGAATGCCCAGGAAGAAATATCTCCAAGGTCTGCGTAATAACTGCCATGCTGAGGTTAGGATACTTCTGGGTGGCTTCTTCCTCCAAAGGCAATCTCTCCCTGCAAGGTGACCTCAAAATACAAAGATGGCCAGTGAACCACGATCCTTGACAGACAATAAGTCCACGGATTTAAATATTTGGATATGAAGAAAAAAAAAGGTGAAAATCTTGTCTTTTCTAAAATAAAGATAGGATTAGTTGGAAAAGGAACCAGGCTTTCAAGTGGAAGATCCCCACTGGATTTGTTGGATCATTTAATTGCATAGTGACCTTGGGCAAAGAGCCTCAATCTCTCTAAATCTCAGTTTCCTGCCCTATTTCCGGCTGCTGTGAGTAAGAAGCGAAGCAATTCCTGTGGAAGCACATTATTCAAATGCAAAACACATCTGGCTCCAAGTCCAAATACCCCCCTCAGCGTCTCTCAGCCCCCTCCACCCCTATTCCTTTGTTCCCTCCTTTCCCCCTTCTCGAGGGAGGACTCTTCCCCCCCACCCCCATCTGGATGGGCTCATCCTCAAACTGTGACTGGTAGTCCTCCAAATTTAACTCCTTTCACTAAACTATCCTTCGCAGTTGGGGGGGTGGAGTGGGTAGGAGTATCCGCATTTAATCCTTCCAGAGGCAAGGGCTGACCCTGGGACAGAATCCTTGGTCACACTGTCCAGAGTGACGACCCTGCAGTAAACAGCCTCTTTTAGCCCAAACCCATGCCCAGAACTCCCTCTTGAGCCGCCAAAAATCTGCAGAATTTTGCCACTGTGGAGAGGGGCGGGGCTGTAATCCACCAGAGGGAGGGATTGATCCTGATACAGGGAAAGACGTGGGGGTGCGAGTAAGCAGAGAAGGACCCTCAGGGACCATGGGAGTGGCACAAACCAAAATGCCTCCTGGATGCCCACCAACCCGGTGGCTGAGGCTGGTCTAACCGCACGTACACAACAAATCCCCACACATCTTTTGCCTGCTTCGCCACACACAATTGAAAGCACTCAGTCACAGCCAGCACCCCATCTCCTACCCGCGCTGGACACGCGCACTTGCACTTGGGCCTCCAGCACGAGGCTCTGGCGCAGTGCGCAACA